CTTGCATTGCCGATACGTGTAAATAAGGCAAATTTCTTCTGCAGTTTTCTCGTCTTTGACTAAATTTTCACTTATGTACTTGTTCGTCGAGGAGGAATGGACCATAATGAACACTATAGTATCAATTTTTGTTGCATGGGGTTGAGTTAGATGCGAAATATGTTCGTTCTGGTGTAGCTGGTCACCGTGATCGTCAGCGGCGGACGTTTGTACACTGTCGCTGGACAAAAATAGAATTTGACGTCGGAATTATCTCGTTATTTAGCAGGTTACTATAGGCACGTCACTACACTGTTTTATTTTATCGATCGTCTGAGTAAAACTTTCAAAATTAAAATAAAAGAGAACATATTTTGACATTCTAAACATTAGACCATAGTGATCACTATAAAATAATTTAAAAAACGACAAATCACAGTTACTAAATATAATGACAGTCCGCGTGGAAATAAATTGAAATTTTGTTGAAATAGATGAACGCGTCGGGTCACGACGAGGGCAAGTGCGTTAAAAGCGGCGTTTAATTGGATAACAGAAATAATCAAGATCGACACACATACAGATAAATTCAGAGTGGATTCGAGTTAGCGTGATCCATGGCATGATTGTCATAATTATAACATCATATTAAAACTTTATTTGGTGGAAACACATTGACCAAGCCCGGATTCTTATTTCAGAAATTATTATGCAGATCAAGCTGCAAGGAAAGAGGTAAAAAAAGAACAGAGGTGTGAATTCGACATTCAACACAAACCACCAAACAATTCAGAAACTTTTAGCCTTCGAAAATGAAAATCTATTAGCAGTGTGTAAAGGCTGTGTAATTTCCTGTTTGTCTGACGCTTCGTTTTCGTGTCACTGTCGAAATTAATGCTACCTTTTACTTAACAGGGACTAAATGGTCTCTATAAAACGATAACCAGGATCGCAAAAAAGTCAACTCATTTGAAACACTTGCCGGGCGTCTATCTCTCTTCTGAAATCCTTCTCGGTGATCATGGTCCGGAATCTATTTCTTTCAAAAGTGTTGCGCCAGGTTTATGTTGTCAGCGTTTCTCTTTAAATCTAGTTTCTTTTTCATGGACGAGGACAGTTTTTCCAAAAAATGAATCTGAGGTTAAGTGGCTTTCGTTCACTGATGTCGCACCTTCGAATCGATTAGAAACGTGTGAATACTTACACTATGACTATACATTTCACTGCAACTGCCCACAACACAACATCTCAAAACTCTCTCTCTCTCAAAAAAAGAAAATAAACAAAAAAAGAAAGAAAAAAAACGCCGACTGAAAAATGTATATCGTTTAAAAGTATACTGAATGACCAGTGTTATTACGGCTCAGGGGTATGACTTCCTCTCACATTTTGGCATTTGGTGGCGCACTTTCGGCGAGAGTCGGAAATCCGGAAACAGTCGACCGTTTCAGGATAGGTGGGCGTGGCTACAACACGAGAAATATCCCAAATTTTCTTGGATACGAGTAATCATTTTCAGCAAAAAAATCAATAACTGCCCATTTCAGTGGGATACAGATCTAAAATGGGAAACATGCACAGGCACTTTAAATAACTATTTAGCAGAGCAGTCAGTACTGATGAAGTCTGGATTATTGTGTTTAGTATCATGTTATCCATGATTTCTTGACTATTAAAATGCAATCCTTGGTGTGAAACAGTGGTTAGTACATTTACCTCATATCAGAAAAGTTGTGTTCAATCTTCTCATCTGACTGCTCACTCTGTAATATAAAATGATAGCACATTGTATACAAGCCTCCAAACATGTGGTATTGGGTTTGGGAGAATGGCGTCTCATCAGATGGGTGATGCTATTGGTACCATATGCTGTCCTGTGCAGTTTAAATAAAAATAACAGTTTTTGTTGAAATGAGTTTGATTTTCAGCGTGATACTATATTTTGAGGGGAAATGTTCACTTACCTTGCATGAAAGCAGCTTAACTAACAATGTATGATTTGTGTTTCAGAGCTCATCCAAAGATCATACCATTCAGAGAAAGCAAATTGACTAGGTTGTTTCAGAGTTTCTTTATGGGTAAAGGCAAAGCCTCCATGATTGTCAATGTTAACCAGTGTGCATCAGTATTTGATGAGACAATGCACGTTTTGAAATTCTCTGCCATTGCAAAACAGGTATTTTTTTTTTATTTCAAATAACTTTTTCTCTATTTGCATTACAATTTATTATACCACCATGAATTGTCTTCACATAAATTCATAAATTGAATTTTGCTGACAGAATGATTGAATCATAAAAGTAAAAATTAATATATTTTGTGCTGAAGATGTTACTATATAGTGGTGAGAAGCTGTTGACTGCCTGTGGTGGTGATGCACACACCAAAAAGCAGTTCACATTGTTATGTTATTTTGTTTGAAGTGAGTACAGGCTCAAAGTTTAGTAGTATAATTGAACTTGGCACACAATGAATGTTGTCAGTGTAATAATATTATTGATCCCCCTCCTACAGACATTCACACATATTGATGTTTTTTTTAAGGTAACTACCGTGACCTCGAAATTGGACAATAAATGGAAAGAAGTTCATATCCCAAAGCCTGCTTCTGCTCGTAATGTTTCCTTGGCTGTTAATCAGGGCCCATTGAGAAATCGTGCTACGATTGCCTGGGCAACCCCATCACGTGATGCACCAGCCGTGGTAATTGAGGAATTGGAGGAAGAAGAAGACAATGACGTTGCAGTGGAAGAAATTATTGTTGACGACGACGATGATGAGGATGATAAAAATGAGGAAGATGAAAAGGTTCTGGTAAGTTGAATGTTACTTCAAATAAATGAAAATATCAAGCCAAACTTGTTTCCAATGATTTTCTCATAGTGAAAGTAAAGTGAAAATTTGTCAAAATACACACAACCAAAGTTTAATAATAATTCTCTCCAAAAGTTATTTCCAATAATTTATCTGGAAACTCCTGTGTTAAAAGTTGTGATAATGTCAGATTGATTTTAAAATTCTCTAGTCAGAGTGGAAAGTGTTTACAATTGTCATTCAAGGCTTGCTAAAGTGCTGATCATTAGTTGTTTTCCATTTACAATTGAAATGTTTACTGAACACTTATGTATACATTGAACAAATACTGTATGATCTCCTACAGCAATATATGAGGCTGATTGAATCATTGAAGAAACAGCTGATAGAGTCTCGACAGAAAATGGTGATCATGGAAGCCACTGTTAGAGAAGAAGTATGTCGTGAAATGGCTGAACAGCTGGTAGAAATAGAGTCTAACTACAGGTGAGCCTTATACACACCCTATAGATGTCAATAAACTCATTGTAAACATCTGTATAGCAATTATCTAATTATCATTTTACACTATGTATTATATCGTGACTAAAAGTCACTACTATAGCAGGCATTGAAATAAACCAATCAGGAAACTCACTATATCCCTTTTTCCTTGTAACATTAATGTATTCCTAGGAAAATTGCCTGTGCTGTGTGTTTTACCTTTGACACTTTCAAATTGTAAGAACCTGATAACCCTGGACACAACTATTTTCATTTGGATTAAAAATGATTTTTTGTTGTATGAAAAAGTTGCTGATTGTCCATAGTTCTTCTTGAATCAGTGTTAAGGTCTTTTTTGATGTTGAAATTTTGGGGGTAGGCTATGGTTGTTTTCATAGACTTGTGCCTACAAACATGCAAAGTCAATATGAATCGCAAATAAATTATATTCAGGGATCAAAACTATCATCAACCAATTTATATATATTCATTAATCTCTCACCAAAGCGAGAAACACAACAATAGACAATTGGTTTGATGTTATTATTTGTGTTTTAGATTGCTGTTTTAGATTTATGTTTTAGACTGTACATTATCATAGCCACAGCCATTCTCTTCAGGTTGAGCATGGACAATGCTGTTTGACCAACTAAAGTCACTAACAGCCAAGTGCCCCAAAATCGGTATCTGCTACAAGAGTAGTTTGCTATGGACAGATTGGTATTTTTTGTCTAAAAATTGCCGTACATGGGAAGACACTCAACAGTATACATGCAGACGTCTGTATTAGTTTTACTTAATGGGAGTCTACAAGAAATACTCACAGTGACTAGTGATAAATAAAGTTCCAAAGTTAGTGCTCTGCAGCAAGTTTGATATTGGTCCTGAATTCAGACATTCACTGTGTGATGATTTCAGTACTGTTGCTGAGTCGCAATGGAATATCAGTCAGACTGATGTATGGTAGACTCCATATCAGTCAGACTGTTGTATGGTAAACTCCATATCAGTCAGACTGTTGTATGGTAAACTCCATATCAGTCAGACTGTTGTATGGTAAACTCCATATCATATCAGTCAGACTGTTGTATGGTAAACTCCATATCAGTCAAACTGTTGTATGGTAGACTCCATATCGGTCAGACTGTTGTATGGTAGACTCCATATCGGTCAGACTGTTGTATGGTAAACTCCATATCAGTCAGACTGTTGTATGGTAAACTCCATATCAGTCAGACTGTTGTATGGTAAACTCCATATCAGTCAGACTGTTGTATGGTAAACTCCATATCAGTCAGACTGTTGTATGGTAAACTCCATATCATATCAGTCAGACTGTTGTATGGTAAACTCCATATCAGTCAAACTGTTGTATGGTAAACTCCATATCAATCAGACTGTTGTATGGTAAACTCCATATCAGTCAGACTGTTGTATGGTAAACTCCATATCAGTCAGACTGTTGTATGGTAAACTCCATATCATATCAGTCAGACTGTTGTATGGTAAACTCCATATCAGTCAGACTGTTGTATGGTAAACTCCATATCAGTCAGACTGTTGTATGGTAAACTCCATATCATATCAGTCAGACTGTTGTATGGTAAACTCCATATCATATCAGTCAGACTGTTGTATGGTAAACTCCATATCGGTCAGACTGTTGTATGGTAAACTCCATATCGGTCAGACTGTTGTATGGTAAACTCCATATCATATCAGTCAGACTGTTGTATGGTGAACTCCATATCGGTCAGACTGTTGTATGGTAAACTCCATATCGGTCAGACTGTTGTATGGTAAACTCCATATCATATCAGTCAGACTGTTGTATGGTAAACTCCATATCAGTCAGACTGTTGTATGGTAAACTCTATATCAGTCAGACTGTTGTATGGTAAACTCCATATCAGTCAGACTGTTGTTTGGTAAACTCCATATCAGTCAAACTGTTGTATGGTAAACTCTATATCAGTCAGACTGTTGTTTGGTAAACTCCATATCAGTCAGACTGTTGTATGATAAACCATGGAAGGTACTAACGGAAGGAGCCACGACGCCTCTCAAGTGGCCACTTAAGCTTCTTAACAGGCTTATTTTCTTTTGTTTCAACCCAAATTAATCCTGATGAGGACATTGTCTAGCTCATCTTTGATGTCCATGATAGTTGCGATTGTTT